TGTCGGCCCCGCGCTCCCCCCCCCTTTACACACACACACACACACACACACACACACACACACACACACACACACACACACCAACACCAACAAGCTGCCAGAGACGTATGGGGCGATTCCAGGCTACAGCTGCCGCTGGGGTTTGATGATCACCTTTTGTCAGCCATCATCATACTGCCTAAAACAACTCAAGATAAATTAGGCCTGTCATAAAAGTTCTGTGTTGTTGTACATCACACATCCATTTGCAATACAAATGTATGTTATGTTTTATATTACCCTCTATTACGTGCAAATGTGAGGACTTGGTGCTGTCAGAGGCTAAAGAACTGCAGGCTCTCAAAGCCACTTAGAGCGCATGGTGAAATTGCTACATCCATCTTTGTATCATTATTGTAATAAGCTCACAATGCTGCAATTTGACCCCTCAGCTTAAATAAATTTGCATAACATTTAGTTTAAATACATACAGGCTGCATTATGGTTTTCATTGTACAAACTGTGTTTTATTCCCAGTTTAACATTTTGACTGCAGAGTGATTTTGGGGCCTTTTCGTAAATGAAAATCTTTTAATGCAAATATATTTTCAAGGCTGTAAGTGCCTCTGAGTTGCAACATTATGAGATTTCTGTACTGCATTTTGGAATGAGAAACAGCGCCTCCCTCTGTCAGAATTAGAACATACCCCAGGTTGCTTCTTTCAGCACTTTGGGCAGATCCTCTCGCTAAGTAACAATTAGTGCATGACAGTAGTTTGCTTACTTCATTGCTTATATAGACTCTATTTCTTTTTTTCGAGTGTTCAACAACTGCTTTTATTTACATTTAAGAAAGAACAAGAGCTGTTAAGAACATTATATGAAATTTATTTTTTATTTTTCCAAATATGATTGATTTTCTCCTGCTACATCGTGCTTCACATCCACACAGAAACAGAAATAATAAAACACTAACTGAAGTCGTGAAACAAAAGGGATCTTAACCTGTCATCCACAGGACTGTATGCATATTCAGAATTCAGTGATGAAAATAAATATAATGTTATGTGGGTTCTCTCAATTAACTGGAAATTAACCTAAGCTGCATGTGTGCAGCTTAGGTTAATTGGTGACTCTAAATTGCTTGTATGAGTGAGTGTGGGTGTGTGTGGTTGTCTGTCTCTAAGTGTCAGCCCTGTGATAGACTGGTGACCTGTCCAGAGTGTAATCTGTAACATAATTTGTATTATAAATACAGTGAAAAAGAAGTATAACATATACTGAGTCTCCTAGATTGCATTAAGCCTGTCTCATGCTAAACCCTGTTCTTATTACATCATTCTGCTCGTATGTTGCTTTTCTTCTGCTCTGGCTCTCATCTGTCCACTTTTAACCAAACTTGCCTCAAGCAAAAGTGCATTTCTCTCCATATTTTATTATATATGTTTTGCCTTTGAGGAAATGTCTCTAATCTCCTTTTTAAATTTTAATGTTAGATTTTCCTGTGTGTACAAGCGTTGACTGTAGTTTACAGAGATGTAGACATGGAGACGAGCACTTGCTTTATAATGGTGGAGGAGTAATTATTATTCTTAAGAAGTCCTAACATTCAATCAGAGAGAATGAGTGATAAAAACAAAAATGAATAAAAGACAGCGTGAGAGTGAGGTGTGTCTGGCTGGGACCTGAGCAGTCACCCAGAAGTAGGCCATGGCTGCAGCTTCATCATAAATACATGTAGTGACAACACTGCTCCCTGCTGCATTTCTTTTTAAAGACCAGATGTTTGCAAACCTGTAAGGAGTTAAACCTGGTTGGGCTAACACAATTCATTTCAGCTCAGCTCCCCAAAGAGCACTCGATTTAATGCGAACCACAGCAGGTCTGTCACCAAAGCAGACTACACATTCCTCCATAGTTTCTGTTCTGTGCATGCATTTCAAAAATATGTCCACATCGAGTATAACACATCTTAGTTTATGGTTGTTTAATAGGAGAATTCCAGGAAAGAGAATTTGGAAAATAGTGCTTTATAATTCCCATTTATTCAATTAGTCAAACAAAGATTATTGCAGAGATAGGATTAGATAAAATCACAGATATATTTATATCAAACAAGTTGTGACACAGGTTTTCATATCTTTGAAAACTTATTTAATTTTCATATTAGTTCATACAAGGTATATGATGAAATATTTACTCAACAAGCCCAAATGCAACATTCTTAGTTTATCTTTTATCAAAGAGAGATTTTTAAATTTTGACTTGCAAAAAAGAAAAAAAATTACTTCCTACTATCCAAGAAAAATCATGAGCACTTCATTTCCTTGACACAGTTCAGTTCTCAGCAGAGTCATTTTCTTCCTGTGCTGTGCAGAGAAGACTATTAAAGCGAATTTTCAGGCCAGTCACAGATGGTTGAAATAAACAGCATACTACTTCCACTTCCATCTCTCATACGAGCCACACTGAATGATGCCAGGCCTTAGATGGAAAATTTGCAAGTACAGCAGGCAGATATTCAATGCATAAATTCAGCCGACTCTGAGAGGATGACTATCTACCAAAATGAGTTTCTATGTAAGCCTCAGCTATCTCTCCGAATTGGATGTTTATTATTTGTTATTTAAACTTGGAGTGTTATTTATAATTTGCAAAAGTTTAAATTGGCAGTGGCGCTGAATGTTAGCTTTAAATTTTGTTGGAAACAAATCCAATCAGGCAGAGAATAAGAAAAGGTGTTTGTCAGATGGAATAAGGTGTCAGATGGAATAAGGTGTTTGAGGAAAGTGATTATACATATAATGGAAAAGACATTGCTAATGATATTAGGCCTGTTAATTTTGACCTCATCACTGCTGTCTATAAAGGGCAATCAAGTATTGTGAGTCACTGTGTGATTAGATGGTCTCAAAACAAGCTGGAAGGGTGTGTGTGTGGTTTGCTTGAAAGCTTTGGGAGGAGCAACAGGACAGTCAGTCTATTTTGGGGGGGTCATCTTAATGAGGATGATGTTGTGAATAAATAGAAATATCTTGGTACAGTTATTGATGAAAAACTATCATGGGACTTAAATACAGATGCCATTTATAAGAAAGGGCAGCAGCGAATATACTTCATGCATAACCTTTGCCAGTTTGATGTGGATAAACATTTACTGGTCCTTTCCTTCGTGGAGAGTATTCTAACTTTTTGTATTACTGCTTGATATTTCTCACTGTTTGTAATCAAGAAGAATAGACTTAAGAAGTTCACAGGTAAGCGGCATCACAGTATGACAGTGTTGTGTGAGTCCTGAGCTTTGTGAAAAGAATTATTAGGGACATTTCACACCCTTCATACAATGAATATGAGTTGTCACCATGAGGACGATGGTACAGGGTACTACAGGAATCATTTATACCCTCCAGTATAAAATTGAAAAATCTTTTTGAATGATGGTTTATTGTGCTTTACTGTGATATATGTGATGTTTGTATGGGGTGTGCCTGCTCATTTGCGTTGTGTTACACCCCACATCTTTCCTACAAGCTTGAAAAAATATTTTTAATGATTATTTATTCTGTTTTTGTGTGAAACAACAGTAACCTGCTGATACTTAGCCCCCATTAGATGATGAGATCGTAGCAGGTTGGTGACCAAGCTGAATTCCTGAGCAGGTACATGCCACAATATCTGACTGCTAATGCGGTGAGTCACAATCGCAAATGAGTCTTCAGACTTGCTCAGCGGGGTTTTCCTATTATAGAAGTCACTGAAGTCATTATCATTAAGAAATATCTTGTCTGTGCAGTATTGATCTTCAAACATAAACTCTCTGAAAGCCTTGTGGAAATTAGCAACAAGTCCTAATGCCCCAGATTTGGTATCAAAACAAGGTAGCACAATCAGAAAAGTAGAGCCTCTTTCTACCTGCAGTCAGATCTACTATAGAAGTCAGTGGATTTAGTTGCTTCCTCACATCTTAAATGATGGTATCAATATTGATCTACAAACAATTTTTTGTTAAAAATTAAAATAAAATAAAAACTTTAATCCTTTATGGCTCGAAACACAAGCTAAATGCCAGCAGAGTGACAAATTGAGGGCATATTTCTTGAGTTACACTGTGAAATTCTCTTTGCTACTGAGCACTAATATTACAAAATCTCTGGATTTCTGCCTGTTTTAGCTCCTCAAAAAAAATTAGTTTTTTTTTTCTTTGTGTCGTTTTGCTGTTCCACCCCTGAATTCCCTCATCATCCACTTTCCGCACAGGCCTAGGCAGCTTTCCCTGCTAAACTAGGTCCACTGCTCTCCCTGGAGACAAGGCTGTTTAACAGAAAGCCCACTAAAAATTAAAGGCTTTGGCAGCTGGTAACAGAGCATGGCGCTAAGGGACAGACAAGTGACTCCTGGAGCCAGGATAAGTAGAAGCCTCCAAGACACCACAGAGAGCTGGGAAGTTGAATGTCTTGTCTTCAGGCCAGCAAAACAGCAGCAGAGCTGTCATCCCACTGACTCTCCAGGTGTCTGACTGTGTTTGTGTGTTGTACACTGGTGAAGGCTTCAGAAAAGGGGTGTACCCTTGAAGCCCAGTGTAAACAAAGCAAAGAAATATGGATTCAAAGCTATTTTGGAGACAACCAGCCGAGCCATGGGTTAGTCTTGCTGTATGTTTATATGTTACTGTTGTTTTTCCTTTATTCTTTTTTTTTAACCTCTGAGCTTTGAATTTCTTGGTGTAGTGTGGACATATTTATTTTATGCTGGTGACCTTTCTTTATTACTCTATGGATTGCATGACAGTTGTGAGTGCAAAGGTTTTCCCTCCTTACTTGTAAGTAATTTCTTTATTAGAGCAGGTGCACACTTTCACTGAGGTCTTAATATGAATAGCAGACGTGTTATAGGTAAAGGCTCCCTAAAGGTAACTGACTATTCATTCATCCCTGATTTTTTTTTATACCTTATATACTGTTGAGGG